TGACAATGGGAAAGAGTCGGATGATTTTCAAGTAATTTCAGATTTTGACTAGTAAGGTCATTAAGGAGAAAAAGTAACCACCTTTTACATCTATAAATTCTGGAAGAGAATAACAATCCAGTGGCATCCTTCATAATTTTTTGAAGTCTTGACCGCTCAAGGTCATAACTAATTTTTATACTTTTGCTACTCGTATTTCCTCTAGCAATTCGCATTTTCTTTCATATTTCAGGTTTATGTGCCTCTCTGAGGACATTTGTAAGACTCACATTTTGCTTTGGTATTTTAGGTTTCTCTATCTTGGCGAGACTTTCTCTTCTGTACAGCTAGCTGGGGCCTTAGTAACTGTGGTGGGAATATACATGGTTAATTTCAGAAACAATTCTGAATAAATTGCCATTTTTGTTTGGTTCTTTCAACCTAATCCCATCCGATGGAAAATAATTTCTCGGGGAATTAGATGTTTACCGTGAACTCAAATTGGGAATGCTAGAAGCAAGGTTGGACACGCGCAGAGGAGAAATTTGAGTGATATACAACTGAGCCCTTGTGATCATGCTTTGTGGTGTAAATACAATTTTGTTTTGTTATTTAATTTTGGCTTCCAGCCTCTTCCTAGGCAATATACCAAAAACTTGGAAGCCTTCCATCGGAATGAATTGTTTCCGTAAAGGTGTTTTTTTGTTGTATAAGATGGCTTACGCATTACAATAAGACTGAACAAAATGTATATATTATTATTGCAAATTTTGTGTATAGTGAACCTGCTCTGAAAGAAATATACATATTGGGCCCATGACTATATTCAGCACAATAGCAAGTAGGAAATGCTATATTTGTGTTATAGTGTGGACTAATAGCATATGTTGATACTAGTATCTGCAATGATGGTGCCATGATGCTACTTTTATTTAATTAGACTAAAAGCTATATAATTTTTGTACTATTTAGTTTATGCGCATAAGAACACTTAAATATGAAAATATCCAAATTTATAAAGCGAAATAAACTTATATTAAAGCACTAATCAAAATCAGTAGTCATAACAAATATAACATTGCAACAAACCAGAACTTTTTACATTAAAATGCAGAAAAGCTGCGCTAGCCAGAAGTCAATTTCAAGTCTGCAACATACACGATGACGAGACCCCAAGATTAGATTATAGAACACACAATACCACAACTGTAATAAACTCTGTTAATTAATTTCACTTACCAGCTTTTATATCCATTTCCGTTTGAAAATTATAACATATACCATTGGAATTGTAACATATATCATTGTCCGAGTTGATATATATGAAGCTAAAAAGTATGACCAATCACCTGTTTATAATTTGAAGAAATAAAAAACATAAAGCTACAAGTGAAGAGATGAGTGGTCAGAATTGTTAATTTTGACCTTAATTAAATGAGAACTGGCTGCAAAGTGGGCAACTCCAAACAGAAGGAATGTTAAACTTGTCGAGTATTTAAGTTACAACATGGAAGTGAATTCATTCAACACATCTATGTGGGTGTAGATGCTGTGACAACAGGTATGTTGTGAAGAACTTTATTGGCACCAAGCCTGCCACGCCCTATCCCACTGCCGTGCTGATGATCACACTGTCTCCTTTTGCTATTCAATCTCTTCCCAACTCCATCCACATCACACCCTGCTTCAGATGATACCCTCCCTTCCAAGCCTAAAGGACTTTTCAGACTTTCCTCTCTGGAGCAGTTCAATCTTGAAGTCCAACTATCTTTTGATTCAACAGAACTTGGTTCCCATGATGAAGAAGAAATCCCCCAGTGCTGTTGACCACTACTCACCGTGAAGCTGTTGCTTCCTGAAGACTCTTGATCGTCCATGTCCACCCCACCAAATGAACCACCCCTATTCAATGTCACATACTTATGCAAGCTTGGTTCCATCACATCATCATCATTGACAACTAACATAGATTCTACAACAGGGTCCTCAGCATCAGGCTCCCCTTTCCCATAATCATTGGCACTCAACGGAACATTGTAATCATTCCTACTACACTGAAAAGATGGTGGACTTCTCCTGTCTTCTGCACCACAGAAATTCAAGTTGGTGTTAGAGTTGAGATCAGCAACAGCTTCAAGGATAGAGCAAGCTTTGGTAACACAAGCTGGGAGAGGAACAGAAGGTGTGCTCTTTTGATGAAAATTCTGGATATCTTCAAGCAGCAGTGAAGTGTAGGACTGTGGAGGATTCAATAGAGCTTCAGGGTTTAGGTCTAAATCCCGGGATCGCCTTGCAGATCTGCTTCTTGTTAATGTGTGAGGTTTTAGGTTGTCAACCCCCGGTGGCACCATTGTTTTCACAACAATATTATCAGTAATTGAAGGCTGCATTTTCACATCTTCCTCTTGTTGCACCTTTGTCTTGCAATTTGCAATCATGCCCTTGTCCAATACAGTTCTGCCGCCATTTGGTTTCTGCAATAAGGAAAAACACCATTGCATAATTTACATTAATCACATCAATAAGACTACTCAATTACTATACATGAACAAAATCTCATGTCAATTGGAGTTAGTCACTAAAATGAATGAAATTTTTTTCTAAATACTGATAAAATTTCAAGTCAATCCAAGTTTGTTAAAATCTTCAAACCTGAGAAATTCTGAACCAAATATTAAAGAGAGAGTAATACCTGAGTAGCTTCAATTTCAAATTCTTTTCTGGGTTTGTTTTGCACCCTGCTGTTGTTGTTGTTGGGTGTTGAATGTGGAAAAGCAAGGGAATTAGGCTCAATCTCACTGAGTGGATTTCTTTTGTAAGGTGATTGTTCTGCTTTCCTTGAAGAGCTGCGGCTAAGTGATGGCTGCTGCTGCTGACTCTCATTGAATGCTTTACCAGCATTTGCTGCATTCCCAATTGCTCTTGCAGGAGACTGAGATCGTGGCGAGGCAGCACCAACATTTCTCTTCACTGTGATCCTCTTGATGCCAGTGGCTGCTGCAGATTCACCACCACCATTGTTGTTACTCTTATCCATCACTAGTGAAGAGACAGTGGCAGGCACAGAAACCATTTTTCCAGGCCTAGAAACAGCGTTGCTATTATTGCTTCTTGCATTGGCAGCAGGTGTGGTGTTATCTGATGATCTTCTTCCAGGAGATCTACTGACTCTCCTCTCTCTACTGCTTGATCTTTGTTGCTGCTCTCTT